ATCCTAGAGCGTGCGGTACCCTCTCCTTCCTTCCTTCCTCTCTCCCTTATCTGGCCTGAAAGCTCCTCTGGCCTGAGTCACTACATAGTTTAAGTCGGAGGCAACACAGGGCAGTGGGAAGCATGCTGGGCCTGGGGCCATTCACTCGCTGAGTGGCTGCCGGGGCCACTGTGCCAGGCCCAGGCGACTCCTGCTCCCTGGGTGGCCGAGGGCTCTTGGCACTCACTTCCCTGTTCAATGGGCATAACTCTGGCTCTGCCTACATCACCCAGCTGTGAAGGGAAGTGGACAAAGCTTTGAAGGCACCTGGAATCGGAAGGGGAAGAGCCCTACACACAACTTAAGGTTTTTATAAATCATCGTCAGAGGCATTATCCAGGGTCACAGTTTAAAAGTTTAATTCCTGCCCTGACCGGTTTTGGCTCAGTGGATAGAGCATTGGCCTGTGGACCGAAGGGTCCTAGGTTCGATTCCGGTCAAGGGCATGTACCTTGGTTGCGGGCACATCCCCAGATGGGGACGTGCAGGAGACAGCTGATCAATGTTTCTAACTCATCGATGTTTCTAACTTTCTATCCCTCTCCCTTCCTCTCTGTAAAAAAACAGTAAAATATATTTAAAAAAATAAAAGTAAAACCCCAATTCCCTGCAGATGGTGGGTGTGGAATAGTGAAGGGGACAGCCATAAAATGGATATATTTTGGGGTAACAGTGAGTTGCCCTCAGGAATAAAGTCACTTTTGGAAAATGAAACTGGGAAGGATCTGCCCATAGTGGATGAGACCACCAGTTACAGAAGCCCTCCATCCTAAAAGATGGTAAGTGTAGTTTATAGAAAACCTGGGGACACTCAAACCCATTTTGCACCCCAATGTATTGACTGCTTGCTGAAGGCCAGGTCCAGTACTAAGCACGTTACTTACTTAATCCTGTGCCACCCTGTTACCTCCCCTAGACTGAGGAGAAATGTGAGGCACAGAGAAGTTCTGTATCTGCCCAAGGTCAGAGCAGCAATGGAGCATGATTCTAACCCAGAGCCACATGCTGAGCCTCTCAGCTAAAATGGAAGGAGTGCTTGCTCAGGGAAATGGGACTTCATGGACAAGAGTGGTGGTTTTCAACACTGGACTGAAAAATAATGTGGTAAGGTAGTTTCTAAACTTACTAGGTAACAAGAATCTTTATTCTTGTACAGTCATGTCATTGCATCAACAACTTACTGCATATACAATGGTAGTCTCATAAGATTACAGGGGATCTGTAATCCTGCCCTGGCCAGTTTGGCTCAGTGGATAGAGCGTTGGCCTACTGACCAAAGGGTCCTGGGTTCGATTCCGGTCAAGGGCATGTACCTCGGTTGCAGACTTCTCCCCAGCCTGGGTCCTGGTCAGGGCGTGTGCAGGGGGCAACCAATTGATGTGTTTCTCTCACATTTCCTTGGGTGAGGATTAAAACAAAACAAACCAACTTCCTATTGCCTAGTGATACCAGCCTTTGTAACGTCATTGCTCATGGGGGTATGGGGAAGCTGGTGTAGACAATACAGCGCTGATCGTCGTATAAAAGTGCAGCACATACAATGATGTGCAGTGCATGATACTTGATAATGATAATAAACAACTATCTAATGGTTAGTGTACTCACTATGCTATAATTTTATCATTATTTTAACATGTACATTTTCCACTTAATAAAAAAATGTGCTGCCATGGCCCATGTTGCTCAGTGATTATAGCGTGCACAGAAGGGTCATGGTTGCAATTCCTGATCAAGGGCCCATACCTGGATTGCAGGTTTGATCCCCGGCCCAGGTAGAGAGCGTGCTGGAGGCAACCAATTGTTGTCTCTCTCTCTCTCTCTCTCTCTCTCTCCCCCCCTCTCTCCGCCCACTCCCTCCTTTTCACCCTCTCTTAAAATCATTGGAAAAAATATCCTTGGTGAGGATTTTTTTTTAAAAAGTGCTGTAAAACAGGATGCCGTGTTGTAGCGCACACAGGAGCACATGGCTGAAGAGGCAAGAGAAAGGGAAACGGTAGAACCCCCAAGGACATGCACAGTAAAGGGTTTCACGGAAGCTTTTGCAGACCTCCACAAGCTCCTTAGAAAGCATGAAAACATGGACCCCAAACGGGCAGGTTTGTGTTCATAGAGAGGAATGTGCATGGAGCAGCATCTGCTTACAGCAAAGCTAGGATGAGAAGGAGGAGCAAAGCAAGCAAGCACCTCCCCAAGAGGAGCCTCAGGCAGGTCCCTCAGGAGGGTTCTAGGAGGCCTGTTATCCGGGGAGGCCACAGCTCCCAGCCTGCGACTGCCCCTCAAGACCTTCCAGTGGGACTGACGGGAGGTGCCAGACAGTAACACTGGTGATCCTGACCCTGGGGCCCTAGGCTCATGTGAGTGTCTGTGTCTTAGTTTTTAACAAAAAGTTTAAAAAGTAAAAAAAATAAAATAAAGTAGAAAAAAGCTTATAAGAATCTAAACAAAAAATATGTTCGTACAGCTGTATAATGTTTGCGCTTTAAACTGTGTTATTGGCCCTAGCCGATTTGGCTCAGTGGATAGAAGTTTAAAAAATAAAAAAAATAAAAACGTAGAAAAAAAGCTTATAAGAATATAAATTAAAAAATATGTTCGTACAGCTGTATGTTTGCGCTTTAAACTGTGTTATTAGCCCTAGCCGGTTTGGCTCAGTGGATAGAGCGTCGGCCTGCGGACTCAAGGGTCCCAGGTTCGATTCCGGTTAAGGGCATGTGCCTTTGTTGCGGGCGCATGCCCAGTGGGGAGTGTGCAGAAGGCAGCTAGCTGATTGATGTTTCTCTCCCATCGATGTTTCTGACTCTCTATCTCTCTCCCTTCCTCTCTGTAAAGGATCAATAAAATATATTAAAAAATATAAAGTGTGTTATTACAAGAGTCGAAAAGTTAAAAAATGTAAAAGTTGATAAAGTTAAACAGTTACAGTATGCCGAGGTTAACTTATTCAAGAAAGAAAACTATGTTTGATGAGCTTAGTTTAGCCCAAGTGTCTGTGTGTATAAAGGCTGTAGTAGTGTCCAGCAACGTCCCAGCCTTCACATGCACTCACCACTCCTTCACCCACTCACCCAGCAACTTCAGTCCTGGAGCTCCATTCATGGAGAGTGCCCTGTACAGGTGTCCCAATTTTTATCTGTGTTATTGTATTTTATGGTACCTTTTCTACTTTTTTCTGTTGTTGCTAATCCTCACCCAAGGATATCTTTTCCATTGATTTTTAGAGAGAGTGGAAAGGAGGAAGGGACAGGAAGAGAGAGAGAGAGAGAGAGAGAGAGAGAGAGAGAGAGAAATATGAGAGAGACACATCGATTGGTTGCCTCCTATATGTGCCTCGACTGGGGCTGAGGATGGAACCTACCACCAGATATATGCCCTCGACTACGAATCAAACCTGAGACCCTTCGGTGAGTGGGCCAATGTTCTAACCACTGAGAATGCTGGCCAGGGTTTTTCTGTTTTTAGATACATGAATACCATTGTATTACAGTTGCCTGCAGTATTCAGTACAGTAACAGGCTACAGGTTTGTAGCCTGAGAGCAATAAATTACACCATACAGCCCAGGTGTGTAGTAGGTGATACCACCCAGGCCTGTGTAAGTGCACTGTATGATGTTCACACAATGACGAAATCACCCAGCAACACATTTCTCAGAACATGTTGGTCATTTAGCATGACAGCAATTGCTTCTCAGTCTGAAATGTGCATGTGAACCACAGGGGGCCTGATCTAAATGCAGATTCTGCCTCAGTAGGTCTGGATGGGGCCTGGGATTCTGCAACCTCCTTGCTGCTGGCCGGCGGACCACCCTTTGAGCAGCACGGCCTAGGCAGGGATTTTCCCACGGAAAATGAGGATATTAGCTTCTGCTCAGAACTGGACTCACCCATGAGGCAGTTCCCAACAGCTCAAGTCCCTCTTTGAGCCCTCAAACACCTGCATTTCTGGGCCTGCAAAGCTGAGGTGCAGGCCCAGACTCGGGTAACTCCCCTAAGACAGGCAGTTTTTCTCCAGTGTTGTCCATCAAACCCTGACGGGCTGTCCTCAGAGAGCTTTCTCCAGCTGAGGGTGCAGATGAGTGAGGGGCTCGGAGCGGGATAGGGGGTCCTGAGGACAGCAGTGTGGGTGGACTGTGGGACGCGTGTCCTGGCACAATCCCTTGTGCTCTGGAAATGTTTGCTGGGAGAGGGACGGATACGTAAGGGTGTCCGGGAAGACGAGCTGTGTGGCTGGATTCAGGAGTGGGTGGTTTGGTGGGAGAGGAAGGTTGACTTTGCCTCCCGGGTGGTGATGTTTATGGCTGGTCCTCAGTGTGAACTTCCAGGTGGAAGGAGTTGTGTTTTGCGAGGGCATGGGCTGGTCAATCTTGTTGATAGATTAAATCCACAGCAGACTATTTGTTGAATGAATGAATGAGTAAATGAGGAGAAGAACTAGGGAAAGTGATGGAGTGCCTGAAGTTGTTGCCCTCTACCTCCTCCCGGGCCGGCTGTGGGAATGACTCACGTCCTGCTACCCACTCACTTTCTCAGCCTAAAACCACATGTCCTGGGTGTGGCGGCAGTGAGCTGACCCTCCCTGCTTCTGCCGCAGGATCTTCATCACACGCAGTTGCTGAGTTTCCAGCAGTTGCCCTTCCCTCCTTTCCTGGTCTGAGCTGAGAGCCCGGGCTGGAGAAAACAGGGTCTCGGTTTAGGTCTCCAGAGAAGTCGTTCTGAAGACTCGTTCAGGACACGGGGCTGTCCTGCAGCTGGCTCCGGGGGACCGGACGCGTCGGGGCTGTTTCAAGCTCTAAGAGCTGTGCTTCTGCCCCCTCTGTCTGGGTCCTGTGACACCTCACACCCAAATGTGTGAATTCAAACCCCAAAGGGAAGGGACCAGGTGATGAGCAGTCAGGGAGGAGGCACATGAAGTCTGGGGCTGGTGGGCCAACCCCCCACGCCTTGTGTTGGTGGAGGAACAGACCAGTTTGCCTGGCACAGCCAAAACCCAGCTCTTTGTTGCTGTGGGACGCTGGCCTGAAACCACTCCAACCAGTGAGTCTCCCCATTACAGCTTGGCTGTCTGGGTGCATGGACGCGCCTCCCCATTACAGCTTGGCTGTCTGGGTGCTTGGACGCGCCTCCCACTCCATGCTCTCTCTGTCTGGACATTTCAGTGGACCTTTCGGGGCAGAGCCATGGATACTGGGTGCCCAGTCCTGTTTCATGGGGAAGGAGGAAATGTTTGAAGACGGAAGCTGGTCACACCCAGGGCAGGTGGCAGGTGGGAAAGGGTGGTGGTGATGATGACGTGTGGTCCTTGAGACAGCATTTTGAACCGACTGCCTGTAGGATTTGGCCATCGGTGGGTACAAGACAGAGTTCCTTTTTTGAGAAGTCCCAAAAGAACAGATTCCAGTAACTCTAAAACATGGCCAGGCCACTGCGTCAACATTACTTCCGAAGAGAGCATGTGCCCCGGCTTCCTCCCTCTTCTTCCTGGGAAACTGAGGGTGATCTTGGAGTCAGGCCTCCTAGAAACACCCTTTTCTATTCCAACAGGGTTTGGGGAGGTTTAAAATATAGGCTGTAAAAGCAACAGAGAGAATTAACAAAAATAAGGAGGAAAGAAGAGGAAGTAAATGTGTTAACTTAAGTGCAAGAGTTAACACCCAAGGGCATCACATTTGCCTCTGTTCTTACTGACACCCAGGGTTTGAAAAAGCACTTAGTAACTTGAACGTTGTTAGGTTCCTCGCTGGTGTAAAGGTTGCTTCATTGTCTGTGCCTCAGTTTCTTCGCCTATAAAGCAAGGTCAAAGTACGTCATCAGAGGTATACCGAGAACGTCACATGAGGTAACACACACGGAGCACCCAAAACAATGCCCGGCACAGTGGGCATTCAACTGCGTCACAGATATCGTTATTACTACCTCACTCCTCCGGGGCTGCAGTCAAGTGGACGGCAGGGATGGGTAGAGAGGAGGCAGTTCTCTGCTCAAAGGCTCCTCCCTTCTCCTCCCTGGTTATTCCTCCCGATCCCCTGCCGGCTCCCACAAGTCCCAATGGACAGCCTCTGACTTGCCTTTGATCCTGGTCTGGCTCCACAGCACTCCCAGCCCCAATCTGGAGCAAAGTCTACTGTTACACATCTCTTCTGGAACTTGCTTTACATGCAGTCCTTTAGAACATGACTAACGTACTTCCTTAATCTTTCACTATAAACTACGTGACAACCAAAGCATTTGAAACATTTGGCTAAAGCCTATCTTCTCTAATGATAAAAGCGTAATATGCTAGTTAGACCGGATGTCCTTCCAGACGAAGCTGGGGCTGTGAGGGAAGCCCGGGTCCGGGGTGCCAGAGGGAAGCCGGTGCCGGCAGCCAGGGGAAGGAAGGCCTACTCTTGCACGAATTTCATGCATCGGGCCTCTAGTACCTATATGTTAACTAAAAATTAATTAATTTAATTCTGGCAGCCAAAACATACTAGGGGCACTAAAATCACAAGGGGCTTCCCTATAGTCACATGACCAGTGAGTAGCAGAGGCGGTGGTCTGGTATTATAGTCTATGTGTTTAATCACTAGACCAAATGGCTTAAGGTGTTGGAAAGTGTGTGCCAACACCTTGATTCTAACAGAGAAACATACTCTTAGGATCTCTGCCCTCTT